GGTTGCCTCTCATGTGTCCCTTGCTGGGAACTGGCCTGCAACCCAGGCATGTGCCCTGCCTGGGAATCGAACAGCAATCCTCTGGTTCATAGTTCTGCGCTCAGTCCACTGAGCTACACCAGCTGGGGTGGAATGTGCGTTTTTAAACATCACCCTCCCCTGCTCCTCCCTTATCCACCGAATCCTATGCATAATGAAGATTGACAATTGCTGATATCTACCAGTTTTCTGTTCTTCCCTAGAGCTGACCCGGGGGCGGGGCCTCCATCTTTGCGGTGCATCAGAATCACCTGGGAGACTTTTAGAAATGCAGGTGCCCAGGCCCCTCCCTAACCTGGTAATCAGACCAGGCCAGGGATGTCTGGCAGCTCTAGTACCAAAGGCCTCACAGGTGTTTTTTGGTTTTTGTTTTAATAGAATCGGCGGTGGGGGAAGGACCCATCTCTCTTCTTGCACTCACAACGCTCCTGGGATCATCAGAGTCAGTATTCAGATATCCTTCCACTTGCTCTCTCCCAGAATACTGTCAGCATTTCCCACGCCCCTGCTGAGCGCTGTGCATAGCTGCTAGTGAAAAGTACTCATCCATCAAGTACAAGGCAGAAGCCCTGACCCCTGTCTGGGCCCCAGTCTGACTTCAGGCCTTAACTTAGTGGGTTTGCTCGGGTGTAGAGTTGCCAGATATAGCAAAGGAAAAGACTCCTGGTTACACTTGAATTTCGGGTCCCTAATAAATAATTTTCTGATAGAAGTATGTCATAAATGTTGCATGGAACAGTAAACTCATACTTTAAAAAAATCATTTCTTGTTCATCTGAAATTAAAATTTAACTAGGAGTCTTGTTTTATCTGGAAACCTGAGGGAGTATCTTCCGCTCCCGTGACCCTCAGTTTCCTTATTTGGAAAAGGAGAGGCTTGGGCTAGAGTCCTTCTGGCGCAATGTCCAGTCATCATCAGTTCAGATGCATCCCACAGCTCTGGAAGCCTTTCTCCCCATCCCCGCCAGGGGGCGCGTTGACCCTCCTCAGCGAACACGCAGGGGAAAGGCTCAGCAAGGAGGAAGCTGGTCCCTCTGGCTCTGGGGGGCCGTCTGGAAACCAGGTTATGAGGCCTCCATGGCGCCAGGTCTTTCCTCATTCTGAGTACAGCCTATTCAGAAGGAGAGAAGGGGAGAGCTCAGAGAGTCTCTGAAGATGGGAACTTACATTAGAAGGAGAAGCTAGACCTCCAGAGGGCTGAGGCATGTGTTCAGGCTCACATCACTGTCCTGCAAACTGGAGTCCTGAATCACTGTCCAGGTCTTAGGGAGCCTTATTTCTCCATTTCCTGCTTGACATGTTTAACCCCTGCAGTCCTGTAACCAATGTGGACACCAGGCAGCCCTGCACAGCCCAACGGCTGACGTGGCCTGAGGCCCCTCCCAGAGGGAGTGTGGCCTTGGAGCAGGAAAGCTGACAACCGAGAGAGGACCAGGGATGAAGGACAAGTCTGGGCAGTGGGGAAAGAGCAGGCCCTCCGCACTTAAGTTGGGATGACACTGCTGATGCTGATGACCTCCCTCTGTGCCAGACAGAATAACCTGTAGGCAGGACCACGGTCATCGGGGTTTTCCAGGTGAGGGAACAGGCTCAATGTGAGGTCATCTGACTAGTGGGGCTCACTCCAGTTCTGCCGCAGATGTTAGGAAGAAACGAGGCTTCTGTTACCAGGGATCTAGGTGACCTCCTAAGGACCCTCACCCCCTTCCAGTGAAGAGGCATTGCCCAAGTTGGGGGTGGGGTACCCACCACTTTGACACAAGAGATAATTTTAGGAGACTTACAGAGTTGGTGTAAATTAGCATAGAATTCATCATAATTCAGTTCTCTTTTGGACCATCTGATTATCAGAGAGGAAGTCTCTTAGATTCTCCTTTTTAACAAGAAACGGCACCCTTCAAGCACAGGGCACATTCATGATTGTGTAACATTGTCTTTTCGAGGTATTTATATTTTTATTGTACTTATCTTTAAAGTTTATTCCAACTTGTGGTAAATGGTACTGATTTTCCACTTAAGGTAATGATATAATTTCCTTTAATTTTTTCCATAAGTGATTTGATTTGAAGGGTGGGAAAGCAGAGGCAGCGGAGGATTCTGGGCCCCGAGGGCCCTGCTAATTCAGCGGGTCAGCCTTGCCACAGGTGGTATGGGTGCAGCTCTCCCCTGCCCTCCCAGGGCCCTTCTTTGTTGCTGTCTTTCTGCTCGAAAACTCTGAGAAGCTGCCTAGAAAGACGCCTCCAGATATGGGGCAGAAAGCTCTGAGTCTAGCTCCCCCTTTTTTTCATGGCCGTATTACATGACCACACTGCTCAGCCTCCTTGAACCTACTGCCCTCTTCTGTAAGAGGGTGGCAAAGCTGTTGGAATAGTGGGTTCTATGCGTGACACAGGTGACCTGCTATGAGGACTGCACCCTGAAGTCCTCAGGGCAAGTGTAACATCTCCCTCCTGTGCTGAAGGAATACGCCGCTCAATCCCTTCTCCAGGACAGCTCTGTGCTTTGTGTTTTTACAGTATGTGTTTTCTACCTGAAACAGTCGCAGCACGGCAGGGACCACCCATGCCTGTCTTACCCGTGAGAACATAGGACAGGTATAACACACCACAGGTACCTAATAGAAGTCTTAGAATGAATAATAAACCAGTAGCAAAACTTACCTATCTCTCTGCCTGGAGAGAGACATAATCTTAGAAATTATGAGACTAGTTTGCGTTCCACAAATGGCCAAGACCAAACTGGCCAGTCTCTCTCTATCCCTGTCTTCTGTTGTGTAGAAAAAAGAGCACCAGAAAATAGTTTGATTTTTATGAATGTGCATTATTTTAGTACTTTGAAAACAATTTAGCTATGAGCTTGGCCCTGAAGACCCCACTCTGCGGCCCATGGCAATGGAGTTCACGTCTGGGGCCCATTTCTCTGAGGGGCATCTTGGCACAGCAGCCTGAAAAATCGCAAGATCGTGATGAGCTTGCATGAGCTTTGAACAGTGCTCTATAGACTTATGAGGCCTTTATCTTTTTAGAACTGAAGTGTTTTCTTAAAGCGAATTTAATCCACACACACAACCTCTGGCTTCTAGAGAAGCTCCTCTAGAGACCTCCCATTGCACAAAAAATAAAACCCTTATAGGCCTTATACCATGGCCTATAAGGCTGCATGGCCTGGCCTCAGCCCACCTTTTTGGCTTAATCCAGTGCGGTGCACCCCGCATGTTCTGTGCACCAACCACGCTGGCTCGAGACTCATCGCGCTCCCCAGCGACCTCCAAGCCTGTGCATTTGTTGTTTCTTCTGCCTGGAATGCCTGTCCCGTCCCTCTCTCCACACATACTTAATGCCTTTTTTCCTGTGTGACTCAACTCAGATTTTCTCAAGGAACCTCCCCAGATGCCCTAGAATGTTGGGAACTGCTCTGTCTGGGTTCAGAAGCGGTAACCACCCCATGGCTAAGGCTGAGTGAATGACCTTCAGACTCTAAGCCACTAAGGAGACAAAGCTTATGTCCTTGGCAGGGGTGCCGCCTCTGCCCCTTTTACTTCAGCCTGTGGGGCCCCCAAAGCGTGATCAGTTAGCCAGTGACAGGTAAGATTTCTCAAGGGAGGGACGACCTAAGACAGGTACAATCACAGGGGTCCCCTAGGGAAGGACTTGGGGGACTATAGCAAAAGGGGGAGATGGACCCTCACCCATCGGCTTTGACACAGCCTGAGTCCTCATTCTGTCTTCAAATCTCCTAATCTCTTCACTGCCTTACTTCCCCTGCCTGACTTAAGCCTGGAACCATGACAGAGGGCAGTGCAACCCTGTGCTGGAAAGGGTGGGTTCCCCAGGTGATCAGGCCTAAGAAAGAATACATAAAATCCTGTGACACCTGCTTTGATAAGAATGCTCTCAATTAAATGATAAGGGTCCGAGCAGGAAATGAGTTTGTTTCCCAAAGTTTTGTAGCCCCTTAGCTAACAGATCCTGGCTCAGAATAGGCCCTCAGAGTTCTTTGTATGTTATGTATTGTTTGGTCCTTACTGCCTGACAATGATTGATGAGCTTTACCTGGATCCCTGTGCGAAATGAACCCAATAAAAGCCCATTGAGGAAAAGGCTCTTGGTCCTTCTCCTTTAAGAAATCGGCCACCTTTCCTCCACAAGCAGATCATGTCTCAGTAGGCTTATTCTTGTCTGTGACAGTTGGGGGGGGGCCTGCAGGCAGAGCCCCCCAACACTAGAACAGCCATGTCCAATATAGAACTTTCTGCAATGATGACAATGTACTAGGTCTGCCCTGTTCAGTGGGGTAACCACTACCCACGTGTAGCTGTTGGCACTTGAAGTGTCTAGTATGACTGAGAAACAATGTTTAACTTTAATTGATTTAAATTTCAATCTACCTAGCCATTCACAGGACTACCAAACGGGACAGTGCAACTCCAGATTAATAGTGTCCTCCTGTCACCCACTCATGGGTTTACATTCCTTCATCCTGGCACCTATCACAGCTTGTGATTTATATGTAGTTGTGCAATTGTTTAATCCATTCCTCGCCAGACTGTAAGTGCCAGCAGATCAAATGCTTGATCTGCTTTGCCACAATTGTGTCTCTAGCACCTGGCACGGGACCTGGCACATAGTAGGTACGTCATAAACATTTTTTGAATAAATGGATGGATGGATGAATGGATGAACGATTAGTGAAAGGAGATAGCTGCTTAACCTGTTGCATCTGATAATGAAGTGTAATAATGAAAAGCCTACGAGTCATAAAAATAAGCCAAATTTGTTCTTATAGGAACCATACATTCCTTGTGCATAAATAAGCCTGTGTGTGTACAGGCGTGTGTTAAAAAAACGTAACAGTGTTTGCAAAATTTAGCGTGTGTGTAGTCATGTGTACACACGTAAGTCCACGGGTCCGTGTTTCAGGGGAATGAGGCGGCTCAGACACATGCAAAATCACCCAGGAAGGCAGTTTCTAAATCATTACTTTTATTTTGAAAGATTCGTCAAACTCGCCACAACATGGTGAGAGCTTGCATGATTAATAAGAAGCAGCTTTTTCATGAAATGCTTGGTGGTGAATGAGTTCTCAGCCTGTGAGATCTGACCATCCCATTGACTTCGAAGTTTCTCTTGATTAATAGAAAGAAAAGAAGGGGGAAGGAGGAACATGCTAGAAAGCGAGGGAAAGACCCCTCATGACAGCCATCCAAAAATGAAAAGAAAAAAACCTCTCAAAAAACAAAACCAATCTGCTAACTCCACTTTTTCTGTTTTGCAACTTTCTACACCTCACCCTTGATTTCAGCTTTCGTGGCTGAAACAGCCCCCAGTCTCGCTTCTCCCAGACACTTAGGAGGGGAGAAGCCCACCAGGCTCGGTGGGTTCCAAAGAAGTGATGGTCCACGGCTCCCAAAAAGCTGGAACAGCCTAAGGTGAAAAAAAGGCACTGAAAGATGACGGGGGAAACGGTGAGGAACTGGGTTTAAATGGGAGCTTCTGTTCTTTCCCAGCCCAGCCTCGGGTTCTTTCAGGGCAGGCCCTGCACACGAGACTGGTTCTCAGCTGTTCCCACCAGCCCTGTAGTCCCAGAACCACGGTCTCTCACTTCCCTTTGTCCCCCTTCAGGCCACGTAGGGAAAAACCCCCAGCCCCACCCCTATAGCCAACGTCCTGAAACAAAATTAACACAAAAGTTTGACTTAGTGAGCATTAGTTTGAAGTAGAGGAACCGAGAGCGAATCTGAAGATGCGGTGCATGTCCAAGGCAGATGCGAGCAGATCGAAGTTCCCAGCCATTTGCCACGAAGACAATGGACAGGGCTTCCAATGGCCAGAGGAAAATGGGACTGTTAGTGGGTGAGCAAGAGGCAGAGTTCCAACTAAGAATGTCATGACTTGGGTTACAACTTCCATTTTTAGCACCGTTAATGTGTTCATTTACATCTATGTTAGCACCTTGTCCCCAGGCAGAACAACCAACCATCCAAACATTTTAAACATTGGGGGAGACGGGGAGGGGCAGGATAGAGAGAGAATCCGGAACTGCCGGCGGAGGCGTGGTCTAGATCACGAGATCCTTGTCAATATCCTCTGCAAACAAGAAAAGAGCAGGGTTAGACCCGGGCCCCAGGTGCATCGGCCAGGCTTCCCGAGGGGCCAGAGGATCCCCCCCCCATCCCCAGGACAGGGGCCAGGGGCCCAGTCCGAGGTTCAGCCAGGACGTCGGTGACTGAGAACTCCGGTCTCCCTGTCCCTGTCACTTATGTACACCGCCAAGTTACAGTTCTTCTCTCCTCTCTAGGTACCTTCCGGGCTCCAGAACAGTGCTGGGTACAGAGCGAGTGCTAATGCTTGGAGAAGGGAAAGAGAAAGATGCTGCTTGATGGATAGAGAAGGGTCAGCAAGCCCCCTGAGAGAGCGAGGTCACCTAAACAGGGAGCTCAAACAGGAGTGAGCTAGGCAGAGAGCAGAGGTGGGCAGAGAGGACAGACACGCAGACGACAGAGAGGGAGGAAGGAGGCAGAGGACAGCAGCCCCCCTGCTCAGACACTCACGCTCCTTGATGCCGAAGCAGCCGGCCCACTCATCCAGAGCGATGTACTTGTCGTTGTCCAGGTCACAGGTCTCGAAAAAGCGGGTGGTGCAGTGCTCCATGGGGATGAGGGGTGCGCGCAGTGGGGCCAGCTCGGTGTGGGACAGGTACCTGTGGGGAGGAGGCAGAAGGGGCCTGAGGCCTGGGAAAGCCACTGCTCTGCTGAGGGACTCAGAGCCCAGCACTGCCCCACAGTGAGCCTCACTTTCCCCCTCCTTCAGCAGGGGAGGAGTTGGCCACAACGTCTAAGGGCCTTTCCAGTTCTGAGGTCCCGTGGGCTCATAACAAAGGCCTCTTGGTGCATTAAATTGTTTCCCAGTTGGCTAAGAGTTGGGGCACAGAAACTTCGAACGAAAATATTGAGCGCCTCTGCTACGAGTAGATTAAAATCTGCTCTGAAACTGCATGCTTTCTACGGACACACATTTGCACAGCTTCCAACGTGCAGGAAAGGGTCTAAAAAACAGATATCAGGAAGGCGACGGTGCCAGCTTCTGGGGAGGAGCGTGGGAAGGGACTGGGGTTGTTGGGGAGCTGGGCAAAGGGCACGCCACCCTCTCTAGAGAGCTTTCATTTCTTTGCATATCATATAACATGTGAGAGGGAGGCCTTCCGATTGCTCTCCCACTATCCTTCGTTCCTGTTCGTCCAGCTGGCCTTCCTCCTCGGGGCCCTCTGCTAGCTGTCCTCAAACCCTCTTCCCCAGGGCCTGCAATGGGACTCTAGTTTTCTCTCTAATCCCCAGTCTCCCTGCCCCACCCAACTCATGGAAGGAACACAGTACTTGAACTGGAAGCAACAACCCCTCCCCTTGCACTGTATACCAGGGGGGAAACTGAGGCCCAGGGTGGTGAAGAGACTCAGGCAGGGTCACCATGCAGCTCTAGGACAAGAAGAGGAGGAAGACGGCTCCCCTGGCTCAGGCTGCAGCACTTTCCAGATGCACAGTCCTTGCAGCCCCATCTGGAAGCCTCCTTCCGGCCCCTGCCTTGGAGTCGGGTCTAGTTGCTCAGCCTGAGCTCCAGATGTCCCCTGACATTTCCCCTCCGGCCCTCAGTGAGTGACTCAGTTGGACCCCAGCCATGGAAAGAGCCTGGGAGAGAAGCAGCAGAAAGCTTCCCAGGGCTCAGGAGACCCCAGACACCCGAGATCACTGGCAGGGTGGGCAGGTGCCAGGCACAAGGACTGAAGCCGGAGTGAGGGATGAGGCTCCTGGAGAGCTGCTCCCCTGGGCAGAGCGAGCTCCCCAGGGCCCTCCAGGAACACAGGGCCGGAGAGGACCGGAAGGCCGTGGTGCTCAGCTGCAGGTGGCCTGCCCACCACCTTCCCCTTCCAGTAGCATTTCTAACTTTGTCCTTCAATTGCCAGGTACAGATCATCACCCAGAGTGTGAGCTCCATGCCAGCAAGGACGGCATCAACTCTGACCCTTGTCAAATCCCCAGCCTGGAGTAGCGCTGGCACAGAACAGGCACTCGATAAGTGTCCACTGCCCCGCTGCCTGCCTATCCTGTGGTGTGGTTGCACCGCCTGCATAACTCACTGGGATCAGAGGCCAGAGCCGCCAAACCAAAGGCTTGCGATGTGGATGGCATTGGCTCTGTGAATTTTTTAAGGACTCCCAGGGCCAGTGTGATGTGGGGCTGGGTCTCGAGGTCTTGCTGAAGGACCGTGAGCATGCATGGTGCCTCAGGTCCACCCACGCCACCCCTTTTGGAGTGTGGCACTCCTTCCCAGCTCGCTCTTCTTCAACTAATGGATTCCCCCAGGTAGCACTCACAGAGCTAAGAAAGGACTGTCAGGTTCCACTGACTTCCGCCTCTGGCTTGAGGGGCCATCTGGGGCTTTCTTCCTCCCAGTTCCGCGTCCTTTCTCAGGGTGCCTGCTCCTTGCTGCCCCAGCCCTGAGGCAAACTGTGGGTTCCAGGGCTGGGAGCATCAGAGGATGCTGGGAGGTATTTTTGGTCGTACTCTGTGCACCTACCCACCCCGACCCGTGATTCTGCCCCGGAGGGCCAAGCCAGGGCCCCCTCCGTGATGCTGAGGGCCGGGGGTCTTACCCATCAATGGGGTGCTGGTCCAGCTGGCCGAACTGCCAGTGCACGGGGAAGATGTACATGTTGTAGTTCTTCTCGAAGTCCCGGGCCAACAGCTCCACGGGGTGGTCTCCAGCCTCCAGGCGCTTCTCGTTCTCATGGATCTTCTTCACCTGTGGGGGCAAAGTGACACTGTGTGACAAGGGGTCTAGGGAGATTGTCCAGACCAGGCGGGGTCCCTCCCACCTCTGACAGGGGGCCAGAGCAGGCAGAGGTGAACCAAGCCCAGGGTTCAAGATGAGGGAAGCAAGCAGCATAGATGGGTTATCAGCGTCTCATCCACAGAAGTGGAGGCCTGGGGTGATCTCCAAAGGGATCTCCACAGTGACCCACGTGGGTCTTGCTTCACAAGGACACTGACCCAGTGGGCCTGAGGTGGGGCCCAGCATCTGCATTTTATCAATACTCCAAGTGCTTGATGTGTCTATTCGATTTAAGCCCCACAGACTTGGAAGGAAGTATTGCACAAGAGCAGGGTGGCTTGTGCCTCCTACCTAACGCTGAGCTGGGCAGAGTGAGCAGCAGGTCCCTTCCCTTCAGGACCCCCCCCCCCCGAGCCTTCAGATGTGACTGTGCACCACGAACCTCCAAGGCAGCAAGCAGCAGTCCCTGTCCCAACAGCCGGGATGAAGGCTCCTGTCGGGGCTGGGGCGGAGGCTTACCCCTGGAGGCCTGGCTCTGACCCGGGGACTGTGGGTCTCAGGCAGCCCAGGGCCACAAGCTGTCCAGCGCAGCAGGCCAGGCAGGTGCCCTGGAAAGAGACCACTTACCCGCAGCTTCTGCTTCTCGGTCAGCAGGTTGTTGTCCTCATCCCTTTCGTACAGAGTGACCAGGACATTCTTGAGCCAGTCCCGCATGCGCAGGGGGAACTCAGACAGCTCGGAGTCCAGGCAGGGGGGGATGTCTGGGGTCCAAAATACAAGGGTGGTCAGCACAGATGCCAGCTCTGCCCCTCCATGCCTTCCTCCTAGTTTCCTAGTTAATCAGTGCCCTTGGCACCGTGGCTCAGCCTCTCTAAGGCACAGCTTCTTCATGCCACACAAGCAAAGGAGCTCATATGTGGGGAAGAAAGCTCTGCAAATGGAAAAGCACAAAGGCCTGTCTGTAGTTCCCTTGGCCTTGACCTGATTGCTCCAGCAGCCCCTGTACCTCTCTGGGTGATAGGCCCAGAATCCACACTGGTGACGTCAACCACTGGGAGGAGTCTGAAATCGGGAGGTTGAGAAATAACTTCTATTCTGGGCTCAGTTTAGTGGGGTCGGGGAGAGTGGGTGTTGGAACGTTTAACCACCAGAATGTTCTTAGTGATAATTATTCCATCCTGGTCTCCGGAACTTAGAATCCCAGAATGTGGTGCCTGGAGATTCCATCCAAGTCTCCCCTCACTCGAGACTTATTGGAGGTCAGCACGGAGAGAAGGGACTGGCTCAAGGCCACGTTATCAGCGCTGCATCTGGCATCCAGGGCACGTGGTTGCGTGGGGGCTCAGGGGCCCATTATTCCCTCACCCTCGGACCTATACGGAAAGCCCCTCTGTGGTTAGGACCACTGTTTTCTCCATCAGCCTCTGGAGAGTGGCCAAGAACCTCTGTGATGGAAACACAGAGTTAAAGGAAGGGAGCAATAGGCCTTAGAGAACAGCAAGATCCACACGGGAAAGGCTCCTTGGCTCACTCCTCGGTATCAGTGCCCAACGGTTCCTACCAACGCTCCTCCCCCAGTCCTCCTCCTCCAGACCTGTGCCTTCCTACTGCACTCCCTGGGCCCCAGGACTGGGAGAGCAGGGCTGGCCATAGGAGAACCTGGTTTCCTTCTGCACTCTGCACTCTGAGGCCAGTGAGACAATGTCCCTGACATACAACGTGGGTGTTCTCTTGAAGGGGCAGCTTCCAATGTGGCCCTGGGTGCTTCAGATGCTAGGGGAGCTGCCTCTGCTGAATCTGCACCTGGGATCACTACCCAAAGGCCCGACGGCGCCCTGGCGTTCCTCCTCCAAACGCCCGACTCCCAGGTTTCTAGAGGAGGGTAGTCAATCAGGTGTCTCAAGTAGGCAGATAGGAATGTAATGGAGCAAGAGGGTCAAGGATCTGACAATACTGAGTAACAGAGGCCTAAGGGGAATTGAAAGACATACCCCTCTTCTAAAGCATTAAAACTCAAATATTGTAAAAAATACTTTATAGTCCAGGCGGGGCATCATTTTCCTTTACCATGTCAGCTTTTCCTCGTCACTAGAGAAAAGAAATCCCCTGCTCTGGGCTTCCACGGCCACTCAGTCCCTCCTGGGAGATGTTCTGGGTGCAGAGCTGAGAGGCACCTGCTCATAGACAATCATCTCGTTTTATCGATGGGAATCCCGAGGCTCAGAGAAGGGAGGTTTGCCCAAGATCTCGTAGCCCAGGGGTGGCAGAGTCAGCTCCAGTGCCCGTTCAGTACTCTGCCCCCAAAATGGGAGGCTGGGGGCCCCGGGGACTCACATTTGCAGGGTCCAATGTAATCCAGGTGGAGTTTGTGGCCCTTCTTGGTGCCCTCCAGGGTGCACTTGGTGGCAAAGAAGTGGCAGGAAGAGTCGAAGGTCTTGTTGTCATTGCTGCACACCTGTTGGCAAAGCACAGCGCACCTTACCTCCACTCCCAAAGCCCTTCACTGGTACAGCCACCCTCACCTGTTTCAGAGACGGGGGCGCTGGAGGCCCAGCTAGGAATATGATGCACCCAAGGTCACAGAGCAAGCTGCGGGTGGGGCTGCAGCAGAAGCCCAGTGTCCGGCTCCCAGGCCAAAGTGCAGCCCACGCTGAAAGCCACTATTGGCCTCTGAGCAGAGGCCTGCCTGAGTCAGGGCTGAGATACGGGGGAACCGAAAGATGCAGACAGGAAGAGTTAAAGGCAGAGATGGCGAAGAGGCAGAGGGTGCACAGCAGGCCCGGGATGGTTATCCTTACAAACGCATGCTTGCGAAGTTGGCCCTAGGCTGGCATCGGGAAGCTGGCTGGCAAACAGGTCCCTGCACTGTTAGAAAACTTCCCACCAATGATAAGTGTGGCTCGCTGTGCCTAGGCCGCTGTACAAACAACGTGGATTATGCTGAATACTGGCTTTCCTTCCAGGAGTCTGGAATTTGGGCATGTGCTAGAAAGAGGGTGCCTGTGTGGCCAACCGCCAAGTAAAACGCTGGGTGCTGAGTCTAATGGGCTTCCTTGGGCAGAATCATCGCCCACCGTGGCTACATTTCTGTAGCTGAGGAAGAGCATGAGACCCATCACAAGAGTGGGGAGAGAGAAAGCAAGGCTAACTAACCATGGATTCCTGCCTGTGTCTTATTCTCCTATGACCCGGCTGTGTATCCTTCTTTATTTTTAAGATTTTATTTACATCATAAGAAAGGAAAGGAGGGAGAAAAAGATCAATGTGTGTGTGTGAGATACATCAATTGGTTGCCTCTTGCACACCCCCAACTGGGGAACCTAGCCTGCAAACCAGGCATGTGCCCTGACTGGGAATCAAATTTGCAACTTTTGGGTTTGCAGGCTGGCACTCAATCCACTGAGCCACAACAGCCAGGGCCCAACTGTATGTCGCTGTAGTAAATCTCAGCTGTGAGTACAACTGCTTGCTGCGTCACAGGGATCCTCCCAGTGAGTCTCCGTGTGGCGGTGGTCAAGCAGGGATGCTGAGGGCTGACCGAGGCAGTGGCAGTAAATAGCCAGTGTCAGCAGGGGGAGCCTCAGGTTGAACCTGCTGCATGTACTTGTTTATGGATCCGTGCAGAGGGAAACTTGGAGTCTGGGAGCAGTGGGATGGGGAGTGAGGAGGGAAGAAATGGTGATAATGATGCTAAAATCTGCAGCTCAGAGAGTACATTGTACTGGGGAGAGAGAAGGTGGGGGAGAATCCAGATCGGAGACGGTGGGAATGAGGCTGGGCTAGATTCGCTGTCCTGGCCGCGTCAGTAGCATGGTAGTCGGCACAGGTGCATGCTCGATATGTATTTCTTTGGCCGGCTGGCTGGCTGGTCAGTTGATTGAGTGGGTCCTATAAGGGGCAGAATGGACAGACTTGGGAGATTTTTAAAAATAGCACACACTGGGTACTTACTAAGTGCCCAGCGTTATCCAGCAGATGCCCACATTAGCCCTATGAGGTAAGGGACTTTCTGTCCCCTTTAGAGATGAGACAACTGAAACTTGAAAAAGTTTAGCAACTTAGCCAAGATCTCATAGCAAGTGGTAGAGGTGGGGTTTGAAGTCGACCTTCAGTCTGACCCAGAACCCAGGCCCTTGGACCCAAAGCCAGGCCCTTGTTGAGAAAGCCCAGCACCTGGTTCTAATGTGTTCTCTTCCGAGTCCAACACGGAGCTCGGACCTGGTGTTGCTGCATCAGTTCCGCTGGTTGCTGGAGAGTTCCAGTGACAGGCAGAGCGCCACCTCCGACTCCCCTCCTCTTTCCTGCTGTGACTGTACCCAGTGAGAGCACTTTTGACACTAGAGCTGCTCAGCAGGACCTCCGAACCAACAGTTTTCTAGGCAGATGCTCTGTGCGGGGAAGGGCCGGTCCCCCAGCCCTCCGCCTAGCCCCTCTGTGCTCACCTTCTCAAACTCGCCAATGGGGGCAGGGCAGCTGGTGGGGTCCTGGCACACGCACATGGGGGTGTTGTTCTCATCCAGCTCGCACACCTTGCCGTGTTTGCAGTGGTGGTTCTGGCAGGGGTCTGGCAGAGTGCAAGGGCATGTGGTTAGCCCCACCCGGGTTAGCACATCCACCCAGCCCCAATCCAGACTGATCCTGGGGCATAAGTCCTCGCCTGTACCCCCGACTCGGCTTCAGGCAGCTGAACCCTCCCTTCTCCTGCTGAGCCCAGAGTCGGCATTTAAGGGAGCAGTCGGCTCAGTTTGGGGGTTAAAGACCCAGCGGGATGTCACGATTGCGCGCATTGCGCAGGGGCTGTGGGCTCAGTCTGGGACCCAGGCACACTGGGTGCCATATGGCTTCCCTGAGGATCGAAGCAACCAGTGTGTCCTCAGCTCCCAGTTGGTCAGTCGTAGGGAGGCAGTTTGGGGTTTCAGAATAGACTTTCTAGAACAAGCGGGAAAGTCAGCTGTTGTCTGAGAGCAGTGAGGCCCAACAAGAAAGGCTTGAGGGGCTGCAGGGGAGAAGGGAGAAGAGCCCTGAGACCCACACTGAACAGCAGAGCCCTGAACACCAGATGGGGGGCGGGGGGAGGAACAGGATTTGGTAGCCGCCCCTGCGCTCCAACAAAAACTCTGCCCTCAGATGAGAACTCAACGTAGCCTTTCTGGGCCAAGGGCTCTTAGGCTTCATCTCAGATCCTCTGGCCTGGGACCTGGGGCCAGGGCCTGCTGCCTTCATCCTGCTCCCATTAGGGGTGGCGATGCTGAGGCTCGGAGGAGCTGAACAAGCAGTGCGAGGGTGTCTGCACAGGGCCGACAAGTCTCAGTGCAGACTTGGGTTGGTCTGCGCGTCACGTCCATGCTGTGAACCCCAAGGGTCTGATGCCTCTCCACTCTGTGGAATGGAGAGGCCAGCACAGGGGGTGGGCCCAGGGGCCCGGGGTCCTCTCTCTCCCTGGCACCAACTCCACAGACAGCATCCTGTGAGTTAGGCCAGGTTTCAGGCCTCATTTCCGCGTGGCCGTGTGCAAATCCAATGAGTGAATGAGTGTGGAAGCCTCTGAGGTCCTGTCAGGCCTGCTCCTGTGTGGGACTTGGGCTAAGACAGGGTCCAGCACAGAGATCTCGTGAGGAGTGACCTCCCTGAGGAGCAAGAGCCGTGAGGGGAAGGGGCCGTTTGGGGCTGAGGAACCTCCCTTCCTGCCTCTCACAGCAGGGACAGCCTGGCTATAAATAGGTCTTCCCCAGATTCCAGAGAATATTCCGGGCCTCTCAGTCAAAGCCAGGCCTCCTCCGCAGCACCCCCTGTAGGGAGGACCCCCGCCCTGCATTTCCTTGGGAAGGAACCTCCTGCAGGCTGTGCCCACATCCAGTGCCCAGGCGACAGAGGGCATAGACTGGATGTGACAAGGGACCTACTCTCAGCCACCACCTCCTCTTCGGCTTCCTCGGCACCTTCCTCAAATTCTCCTACTTCCACCTGGACGGGGTTGGCTCCAACAGGTACCTGGGTGGGAGAGGGAAGAATGAGTCAGTTGGCGCCACCCTCATCCCAGAGCTGGAAGAAAGGGCTGAAGGCTGGAGGGGACTTGCTGAAAGCTTTGGGTCCCCACGAGGGGACGGTGAGGTGGCCACGTGGAGGCAGTCCGGGCCCAGGTCACAGAGAGCACCAACGCCTGCTCCGGAAGGTTCATCCGCCTTACAGACCCACTGTCTCCTGTGCCCTGGAGCTCTCCTGAGAGGCATCGGGGGCCTCCAGGGGTGTGAGGGCAAGAAGCGACGCTGAGCCTTCCATCCCTGCCAGCTATGCAGGGGCAGCTCCAGCTCCCCTGTCATCTGCTTGCTGTACGGGAAGACCAGTGACCAGCTAAGAAAAATGGTCCCACAGCTTAAAAAATGAAACTCTTCGGAATTGTGGCTCCACCTGTACGGTGCCACTGAAGGTTTGGGAAGCGTTCAGTAGCAGGTCTGGATTGGAGGCTCTATAGGGTTTATATCTGTGCTGTGTGCACATGAGAAGGGGACAAATGTCTCTGTTCCAGCAGGTGACCCACAGCACCTGTCTGGTTTCCCCAGGGAAAAGAGATGTGGGCGCAGGGTCTGGGCACCGCCCACCTACCTCGGACACCTCAGCCACGGTTTCCTCCACCACCTCTGTCTCGTCAGGCAGGGCTTCCTGCTGCTGCTGGGAAGAGAAAATGGGCTTCAGAGGGGTGAAGATCAAGGCCAAGGCCAAGGCCCGCTTTGCCTCTGAACTGCTTCCGACCTGGAACCTAAAGCTGGGGAGGCAGGAGAGCAGCCCACTGGAGATCCCCGGGGCTCTGCCACAGGGACCGCCATGGGTGGGACAACAGGGCAAAGGAGAAGGCACCCATGGAGACCCCATGGACCCCTGAGGACCCCAGACCTCATCCATCGTCTGTCTCAGGCGTCCACCCCAGCTTTAGCCTGGAACGCGTTCCACTGCTCTGACGCCAAGGGGGTCTGCAAACCACTGAAGCGGACCATGAACTCCCACCTCACAGAGGGGAAGACAGAGGAGAGGGTGGACGAACACCACGGATTTTAACAGCTGTCTTTCTCTGCCCGCCGTGTGGTGTGATCGTGGTGATGATGACAATTAGGAGGCAATTCCTTGTTGCCATGTCAACTTGACGTAGAAGAAGCAAGATAACATGTAACTTTGAGGCCACCGGCTGACTGGGGCTACTTCTAAAAATAATGCTAACCTTGTCAAAACCTACCCACCTGATCAAGAGACCTGCCATCACTCTTGCTTGTGACGAGAGGGTAAGGGGACCACACGTGGAAGGAAACCCTGCTTTCTGCCTGCCCCGGGTTTCCTCCTCCCTCCCCTGGTACGGGCTCCCAGGCCGGCTTTGCGTAACCACCCCTGGGCCTCTGCTCACAGTTCTCGAAGGGACTGTGTCAGTCAAGGTGACCCCCACTCCCCTGACCAAGGAGCAGGCCAAGGACCCAAGGTAAGCCAGAGCGCTCCTTGAATTTTTCCACAATCTTCTTGGCACCTTCTCTCACATGGAAGCTATTGGAGCAGATCTATTCCAATGGCAACCGCTCGGAGACTGTCCACTAGTTCTTACCTCCCAGTCCTTCCTTTTTCCAGTCCTCCCCAAGACCCTCAGATTTATAATCCATCTCTATACCCCCCCCCCCCCCCCAGTTCACTCAGATTGAGGTCGGTTGCTTGCATCCAAATAGCCCTCACTGACTCGGAAACTAACCCCTCCCTCCCTCTGGGGCTCGACTCTTCTAAAATCATCCCACCAGCACCGCTCCCCCTCTGCTAGAATCCCTCAAGTGGCACAGGGGTCTCCTCCCTCTAAAGAAATACTCGTCGAGGTCTGAGGAACTCTGCCTGCCAAAGAGTTCATCTTATTACAAGGAAATCTCCTTTCTCTGGAATCTCCCACCTAGGGGTCCTCATTGCAACTTTCACCCTGAGTTTATTAGTTTAAGGGGGGGGGGAAACTTTTTAGACTATAAGATAAATAACTTGAGATGGGGAGTCCCTGTCCCTCCCAAGCACCCGGAGCTGGCAGGGAGGTAAGACCGAGCAGAGACGATCTTGGGGTACTTACGGGGGCTGCCAGGGCCGTCCCGGCCAGGCAGAGGAGAAAGAAGATCCAGGCCTTCATGGTGCTGGGGGCCCTGCAGGAGAGAGGTTGGGGCTTCGTGAGGGGATGGCTTCCTGCAGGAGGGAGGGTTCCTTCCGACGCTGGGTTCCAGGGACGGGCAGAGTTGTTCTAGATGTGCGTGTTGACTGATAGGGAAAGACGTGGGAGAGGGCTGCTTCTACTAAATGCACTCTGAGCCCCGACTGTATGACAACGTCTTAGCAGGATGCTGAGACGCCTTTTCACTCCCGAGAACGCTCATCTGCTGTCCTTCCCCCCAGAGACAGCCCGCCTCTGGCTCAGAGCCTTCACAGGAAACTATCCGGCTGGAATTCAGCAAAGTTGTTTTGTCTCCTTTGTATGTATTTTTATAGCTTCCTTCTATTGATGACAGAGGTACACCGATTTTCCCATTTACGGTAATCACACGCAGTTTCCTTCCTCAGCACGTTTATTTTAGGTTTTTAAAAACTTATCACGAAGACAATTGGCTAGTTTGTCAAGATTGGACAATGCCAAACCAGATCCTGTTCAAGGGACCTTCTACCCCTGAATTATTTTCCCACCCCCATCCCCCAGACTTTCCTCCTCTTCCTCCTCCATCGCTTCCTCTTCCTCCCTACCCCCTCTGTCATGGAAGACATTAATGGGTGGCAGCAGCTTCTTGCCAATCTGAGACAATGAGATCTACATTCTGACACAAAGAACAGTAGTCTTGGAGTGCAGCCTGTGGAAACCTGGGGGTGGCCGCATTCTTTCTCCATTCTGCCCAGAAAGGGCAGCATTGCTCTGGGTCCTCCAGGGTGACCGTCCAGAGGTTTCTGTGTGCTGCCTGTTCTCTTTCCCGTTTACAGCTAAAGGGTATTAGCTGAGATCTAGAAAATTCTTCTGTCCTGGTCACGAGTAGGACCTCACTCTTTAAATGCTGAATTCTTTTATTTTTAAGATATTATTTATTTATTTTTAGAGACGAAGATGGAGAAAGAGAGGGAGAGAAACATCAAGGTGTGGTTGCCTCTTGCACACTCCCTATCGGGGACCTGGCTCACAACCCAGGCATGCACCCCGAAGGGGAATCAAACCTTCGACCCTTTAGGTTTGCAGGCCCGAGCTCAGTCCACTGAGCCACACTAGCCAGAGCTAACTGCTGAACTCTTGACTCTAATACTCTCCTGACCGGTAGGGATATTGAAGCCCAATTCCTCTGGTGATTCTATGCCCAAAATGCCATCCCTATGAGAGAACTGATGGTGAAGACATTTTATTTCTTGTTCTAACTAAATGTGCTTCCATTTCCAAATGCCTTTAAAAAGTTCTCCCTTGCCCTGATCCACATTTGCCTCCCGCCAACATCTCCTGGTTTACTCTGTTCCCTGTCCTGTACTCCCTCTGCCCCCAAGGAGCCTCCGGTCAAGGTGAACTGTCACCCTGTCTGCCCCTCAAGTGTCCCCCCAAACTTCCAGATTGGGCTTATCATCTGCAGTTCCTTCTAAGACCCCTCAACTGACCTAGCACCTTGGAGGTATGGAAAAAACACTCAAAACACTCGGCTCCAAATTACATGCCAGGGATTCTTATTGCACCTTGCTAGTGTTTTGGCAAATCAGTGATGTGTCCTTCATCATCGCTAGCCCATGGTCCCCCCTCCATTAGTTGAGAGAGTCAGACTAGGTGAACCCAGGTGGTAGGTTGGCACCTTAAAATGGTACCGGCACATGCCGGTCCTGGCCCACAGCATTGCCTCTGGCAACAGACACTTGTACTTGGATGCTAGTACTTGGGTAGCAGAAATGGGCAGGGAAGTGCAGAGTTCATAACAGCCCTCTGCTGGACTAGCAGAGACACAAAACCTCACCTGCTGTTTCATGGGGCGTGCATGGTATAAAATTAACAGCAATTTAAAGGAATCTACCTGGGAGCTTGGCACTGCTTCACCCTGGCCCAGCCTCCAGAAAGTCCAGTCTTCCCCTTCCAACCAGCTTTTTGCAGTGTGTACCCCCACCCCTCACAAGTTGTAGGCTTGTTCCCCCCAGGTCTGGAGTTGGAAGTCTCTCTTCTTGCAAAGCAACTCCTGCACCGGGCTTCGGATGGATGGAGCAGGAGAGAAAGCATCAATGAAGGACTTGTCTGAGATTGAAAGTGAAGGGTCAAAGCGAGAATGGCAGCTAAAACAAAAAAGAGTCACCTTGTCTGGGCTCCAGTGACAGAGAGGGCAAGTCTCGGGAGACACAGCTCTGCCGGGACTGCCAGTGTAATGAGCCTGGCTGGAGAGGCAGGAAGGAGGACCGGGGTCTCCAGAGTCCGCATCCCTCACGTGAGCAGAGGAGCCGCGCCCCCTACCTGACCAGGGCAGGGTTTGCTGGTGGCTCTTCCACCTGGCCTGTCTCATCACCTTCCTGTACTTCTTTGCCAGGGGCACACTCACCCTTTCTGCCACCTTCTGTCCCCAGTTTTGCAGCCAGAAAAGAAAAGTAATTCTAAATCTTACTGTGCTTTGTAGTTTCTAGAGGCTTCGCTTCGACACTGTCCCCTTAGAGCCTGACACATGGCAGGTGAGCTGACAGGCACGGGGAGCGGGGGGGGGGGGGCTCCTAGTCCCTTTCCCGGAGAGGAGTCTGCGGGTGAGAGGGGCAAGTTGTGTGGCATCCAGGCCTCGTCCAAGTTGGCCAACTTGTCCTCATGGCTTAGGGGTGGGGGAGAAATCCAGACAGTGAAAGCATTAAGAAAAGGACCCAAAATCTTGGAAGAGTTTTTTTCCAGATTGGGGGTTCTGCCCATCACGTCTCAGAACTTGTGCCCTCCAGATGGTGGACCCCGAAGGACAGGACGTGATTTGAGAACGCACAGCCCTACGCCCTGCAGAGCCATGCGGTGAACCTCTGATGCTCACTAAGCGCCACTGGCCAAAGAGGCCAGGCTCTCGCTCTGCAAAGCTAATGGGGTACAACAGTCAGCGAGGTCAGGTCACAGGGTCAGACCCCAGTGTTCACCACTTACCAGCTGCACCCTCATCCTTTGCTTGTCAAGCCCAGGCCTGGCACGCCTGGTGCAAGTATAGACACCTTCACGTACACGACGGGATTAAATGAAAATTCCCTTCTTTGTAGCTCTTTAGTTGGGGGTGATGCATATGTTTGTCTTTTTTTTAAATCCTCACCTGAGGATCTGTTTAAGGGAGAGACAGAGATGCATCGATTGGCTGCCTCCCATCCACAGCCCAGCTGGGATGGAGCCCACAGCCTAGGTATGTGCCCTGACTGGGGATCGAACCCACAGCCTTTCGGTGTATGGGTGATGCTCCAACCAATTGAGCCACTGGCCAGGACGCATATATTTACCTTTTTAAAAGTGTTTTTCCTAATCCAGTGTCCCACTGGGGCCTCAAAGCATGTCTTTCTGCCCTATACTACAGGTGAGAAAACCAAAGCCCAAGGAGGGAAGGGAACCTGCCCAGAGCCCAGGCAGTGAGCGTCGGGGCTGAAGGAGGGCCCGGCCAGCCCCACCGCACAGCTGGCATGCTCTCCACCTCGGTTTCCCTGGTGGCCACCCCTCCCCGGTGCCCACCTGAGTGGGGCCCAGTTGGGCTGTGGACTGGCCCGAGGTGCAGGAGGGGAAGGCAGCGCAGGCCAGCGGAGGCACAGAAGGTGTTTCCCTTGGCTCCGTGGCCACCAAACGCAGACACCGCTCACCCCCACCCCGCTGCAACCACCTCTCCTATTCCGTACAGCAAGTCCCTTCCTTTGCTTTTATTTGCTCTGGAGACGGCTGAACGCCCGTGCTTGGCTGCCAGCAGGACCTGGAGCCGAGGTCACTTCTCTCTCTTTGGACGGACTCTGGGGGTGGAAAAGTACAGCAGCCCCCCAGTTCATCTCCCTCGAGACATGAAGGGCCCCCTTCGGGCTCTCCCTGGATACCGAAAAGTTGCCGAATGTCAGAACTGGGGGAAATCTCAGAATCATAGAATTTTAGACCGTGGAATCAGAGACTTAACAATGTGAAGCACAGATTCTGAGCTGTAATTATGAAACCTGGTTCAAGTAAAATGTTGATAAAGCAACAATCCAATAGAACTTTCTGAGATGAGGCACCAACCTCCATGGCAACTACTGGCTACATGTGGTTCTCAGACACTTAACACGTTGCTAGTGCAAATGAAGAACTCAATTCTTGATTGTATTTCATTTTGACTAATTAAAATCTAAATACCACATGTGGCTGGGACTACCCTGTTACACAGAGTGGTTATAAACTCTCCTAGAGGCCGAACAGCATAAAGGTAAACTCATGGGCTCTGGTGATGGAACCTACATTCAAGTCCTGGCTCTGCTAGTTAGCAGATGCACGACTTCCCAAAAGTGGCTTTCCCTCTCGGGGCCCCCATTCATTTCTCCATCTGTGAAATGGGAATCACGTGCCTACCTTACAAGGTGATCTACATGAGAGAATACAAGAAGTAAGCAATGTTGTTTGGAAGAGCATCTTAAAATCTGAGGATCCCGTAATCTCCACACTGCCCCCCCCCCTTAAGAATCCAGGGCAAGGATCCCGGCTCCTTGTGACCCAGGGAGAAAGGCAGGGGGTGGAACAGAGGAGACAATGCCCCTCTCGGTCGGTCGAGGGGCCACCAGCCCATCCTCCAGCCTGGCCTCTCAGTTGAGCTGCTGACGCAAAACAAGCATCTCACTCCCACTGTTTGGCTTGGAAACAAGGCTTCCAAAAACACACATTTGTGGTAAATAAGCCCAAAGAGAGGAAAACAAGTCTAGCGGCTAAATAGGAGCCCGTGAGCCAGGCCTGCCAGGGAGCTGGGACTTGGAAAGATGGCCAAGCCAGGCCAGCCAGGCGCCGTGGCGGCCAGCCTGTGCGCACCGGGCACTCCCAGGAGCAGACACAGCCACGCAGAGGTGTTGCGACAGCCAGGAGCCCTGAGAGCGAGTCTTGGCAATGCCGCCCAGGGCACCCTGCAGACTCAGGGGAGGCCCCTGCTCCCAGCCCTCGCCTTGCCCTGCCCATCTGCACAACACTGCAGTCCATCAGTGGTGTACAAAATGATGCAGGCCAAGGGCCCCTCCTCACTGTGGAGCTTGTCGCCGAAGTCCACAGTTGAAACAGCTAGAGCCCTTTGCATCTGTTGAAACACGCGAATGTATTATTATCTATTCTATAAGTCAGCTTGAAATTAAAAAAAAAACTAAATCAGGTACAAGTGGAGTTGAGACAGGGCTGAAGTCCTATACATTCGGACACTCCCTGAGAGGCCTTGGAGCTTCCTGAGGTGCCTCTGAGCACAATTTGAAAACCTTGGGGCCAGGTGGCCTCTGAGGTCCCTTTTATTCCTCACGTGCTGAGTCGACTCAGACAGAAGCCTTGTAGAGTATCACCTCTCCCAGCTCACCCCTTGACTCTGTGCTTCCACTTCCAATACTCCTTTCAGGAAGGGAAGGAGCCAAGGGAAACTTTTAGGGTGTTATGGGTGCTTCAGCCTAGGACTGAAGAGCTAGGCAACTCAGAAATAACCCCGGAGGTTGAGACTGGAAATCAGTCTTAGATTCCATAAAGGCATCTAAGCTGCCACGTTTCACCCCAGGGTGGAGCTTCAGACTCGCCTCCTTGGCTCCCCCTAGGGGCCACCGCTGTATCTGTGTGACCACAAATGGAGGGGCTGAGAAACAACATCCAAGTGTCCAATGTGTCACATCCCAAATACGTGGCGTCCATACCTCCATCTGCCCCTCCTGCACATGTGGCAGACATGACTAGTCAACTGTAGCATTTCCCCTGAAGTCCACAGTGGCATCTGGATCCTGAACCGTTTTTCTGGGAGTTGCTACCAAAGGACTGTGAATCACAAGCTCTGTGAAACTTCTTTGCCCTGCTTCTGATTTTAGAAACAGAGAAATCAAGGACCAGAAAGGGAAAGCAACTCACTCAAGGTCCTGCAGCGAGCTGGTGGCTGAGCTAAACTTCCCATTGTTACCCTTGTTTTGTTTTTCTCTGATCAATCTGGAATCCTGACACCAAGACTAACTCGGGATGCCTCAGAGGGATACCCTGATGAGACAGGCTAACGCCAAGTTTCTGGAGGGACCCAGCCCTGAGAGAATTGGTATGTCCATCCTATGTTCCCTACAGACCTCCAGCTCCGTGGCTTGATGAGTGAGAGCAGAGTTAACTTCCCGAGGAGGCTGTTTTCCTAAACAGTTCTGCCAAGTCACGCCACACTGACTCGGGCCCTGCTCCGCCCACCAGCCCCTGAGTTCGGGATCCACGTTAGGACATGGGCTCTGTGCTGTGAGGCAAGGCAGCTTCTCTAATCCCCGGGGTCAGCCGGAACCTCTGTTTCTGCCTTCCCTCCCTTCCTTTAAAGACCGAGGTTGGGGAGGGAGTCCGTGGGAAGCAAATGAGCACCCACCTGTCAGCCAAATCCCCACGCTACCCCCGTGACAAAGCCGTGTGGGCTGGGGCGGACCACTGCAGGTCAGAAAGGAGAAAGCACTGCTTACTGTTTACGATCCCCAGGGCTCGCTGCCTACACAGGGAGGTGTGTAGATATGATAAGCTGATCAAACGGGAAGAAAAAAACAGGGCGAACATCTGAATATTTCCAAACATCCAAGAGTTTGGCTCAGACATCAGTTTGCTGTGTGACCTTGAATGAGTTATTTTCCCCTCCTGAGTGTCAGTTTCTCTGTAAAATATAACGGCAGTCTGATGCTGTATGCATGTACGTCACGTGTCTGCCTTTCCACCATGAGCTGTAGTTTTGTCTGGCTGTGCACATCTGCCTGTGGCTGCTAATGGCAGCTGTGTCTGCATGCCTGACTGTGTGTCTGCAGAAGTTACGTGTGGACTGGAGGACCTCGGTGAGAAGCTGTGCGCCTGTGTGCGTGTGCACCTGACTCAGTACCCATATGCTGCGGCCTGTGCAGGTGGGGGTCAGAGTTTGCACGTGCATCAAGATGTTTTAACCTGGAGCTTGTCTGTGAGTCAAGGCACCAGGCGTGTGAGTGCATAACCTCTCTGGCTCTGCTCATGCACTGACTGAGGCTCTTAGCTTTAGCTGTGCCAGTAGGCGCCTATTGGTGAAATCAGTGTGTATCCTCTGCATCCTCCTTGGTTTGTGTCTGTCCCCGTGTTTCTCTGCACACTTAGCTACCAGTCTCAATGACACCAGCGAACGAACACTGTCCCGTTCACAGCAGTCCTCAGCTCTTTCCTTCCCTCCACATCCTTTCCTATTTATAGACTATTTTCGGCAAGAAAAGCCGCTCTTGTGAATAGGTCACGGCAGCTGTGCTACGGCTGACAAGTCCCCACAGAGGGATAAAGATTTTAGCAGGACCGTTACGCAACACGAGATCTTACGGCCCCACCTCTCTTGTTTTCTGTTCAACTATGGGAACAGGGAGTATTAAAAATTAGGCCAGCTGTTCTTTCTAGTGAAGGCAGCATCTGGAATTTAGGTTTGTGGGACTTCAGAGCAGGAAGGGCAACTGGAGACCAGCTAGGTGAGATTCCCTATTTAACAGATTGGGAAACTGCGGTCAAGAGAGGGGAAGGGTCTTTCCAAGGTCATTCTCTGTGAGTTCGGACCCTCTTCTGCTGATGCCTTGACCAGCTATCTTTCAGCACTGGAGGGTACGACACTCTTGGGAAATACTCAAGAAGGGGCCCAAGTCAAAATGAATTTAAACAATGTATTTTTTAGTGGGCCCGTTAGCACATTCTGTAAAGGGAAGTTATATACAACCCCGCAGATGATGGAGCTGCCGAAGAAGCTGGGAATACTCTCACCGATTCTTGGAGGCCATAACGCGTCAGTCGTAGAACTCCTCACTCAGGGGAGGGCCGCATTTCAGCAGGTGCTTCCCTGCGCATTATCCCGTTTTGCCCACATGATTTCCCTTTGAGATGGCTGCTGTTACTGCTCTTTAACCAAGGAGGAAACTGGTACTCAGAAAGGAGAAGCTCTTAGTCCAAGGTCAAATGGCCTCTGCAGGCCAAAGGCGGAGCTAAAACTCAGATCCTCAAAACCCTGTCTGAGAAGCTCATCTGTGCCCCATGGCTGCCCTGGGATCCCAGGAGATCAGTAGGGCAGGGCCTGCAGTCCTCTTCTGTAGGATTTGGGGACACAGTGGAGTGGGGGACATTCAGACTGAGGCCAACGTACTCTTGAGTGTTCCCAGCATCCCCTCCCAGCCAGCAGGCAGAGACCCTGAAAAAAAGGTTACCGTGGCAACTCGCATTCCTCCTGGAGTGAGTCATGGCAAAGAAGAGCTTTTCAGTGGGTGGGACTTGGAGAAAGTCTCACAAGTTGATTCTTTCTCCAGCCCCCCACCCCCTCCCACCCTCTGCTCCAGGCTTTGTCGATGTGGCAGCTGACGGCTGCGAGTTAACTCTTCCTGCAACCACTTCAAGTTCAAATTTTCTCAGCCCCCCTGCAAACATATGTTAGCTCCCAGTGCCCATCCACTCCGTCTCCCACACCTCACCTCTGGCTATTTTGGGGGTCTCCCATCCGTTTGAGAACATCTGAATACTGAGATGTGAACACCCTCTTGTGCTCTATTTGTCTCCAACTCCCCCACCCCCCCCACACATACACATACACACTACTGTACAGGCAGTTTTAAAGGGCTTGCAGATGCCTTGAAGCCCATTCAAAGGCTAGGCTGTGGATTCCCATTTAGTAGACAGTCATTTGAAAGTCTCGGAGGATGTCAGGTGCCTCAAAGACCATCAAGTCCAACCACCTTACTTCACAAATGGGGAAACTAAGGCCACATGAGAGACTTACCTAAGATCGCACATACAGTGCGTGCCTCAAGTCTGCCATTCTGCTTCCGATTTGCTTCTCACACTCCCATCGGCACTGGGGTGTAGCAATACCCTACGGTATTGCTGGGGAAAACATTTTTTCTATATGTTCTGCATAGAATGCTGTCCTTTCGGGAGGAAAAGTTGCCTCTCTGCTACTTTTGGGCAGACTGGGCTTCGGGGAAGACCATGCCTCATCCCAGCGCCCCTTCCTGGTGGCATCCCTTCAGGGCACAGGAAGGTCCCTCACCGCCCGGCTCGGGGAGCCAGCAGGGTACAGACGGGAAGGGGTTTAGCTGAAGAAGAACTAACACCCTAAAAGGCTGAGCACCGTCTTGTGGAAGGTTTAAACTTCTCAAAACAAGGAGGTGTAAAAAATTTGCCCTGCAGCCTTCTCTGTCTCACCCTTTCCTTCCCCCCTCTCGGCACATTCCCACCACACCCAGCCTCCCAGAGGACCCAGCCCCGGGGTGGATGATATCAGATGCCTGGGCCTTCAGGTCTAGACTCACTGAGTAGGGCTACCGCTGGGAAGTGCCTGTGTTTACGCCCCAGGGAGCCCAGCCCGGGAACACTGCCTGACCCGAGGCTGACTGGTGCCTTGGACCCAGTTTGTGTCTGGCGGTGGGGATGTCAATGAGGGAGAATTCAAGGGAAACAGGAGCCTTCCCGGAGGTGCTAATTAAAGGTAAAGACCCCTTTAGCCTTCTGGAGATTAATTTGTCATTTATGCAAAGTCCCTTTGGGGAAATAGAGCCCCTGATCAAGAGCCAAGTCCAGGCAGTTTCTCCTCCTGGAATGGGGAGCTGGGCAGGCACTGGCTGCCGGCAGGTCCCCGTTGCAGTTGTGACCAGATCAGATTCCCAGGGAAGGGGGTGGATGCCACATTTGCAAAGGGAGCACAGAGGGACAGGCAGGCAGCCTCTGAAACCAGAGACAGCCACGGAGGGAGGGCTCCCTCCAAGACGTAGTGAGATTATCTTCTGCAAACCTAGAAGTTACACTGTGACTGTACCCGAAAAGCAACAGGCAGGGCGTCCTCGGCCCCAGCCCTGCAGGGAGCGGTGGTAGAGCCCAAAGGAGATGGGCGCCCCCTTCCCTGACCCCAGACCTCCCAGCACAGCCTCCCCCTAACTCCCACCCCGTACACAGGCTGGAGGAATGAACTAGGGTGTAGGGTGTGGAAGGAAAAGGCAGGGCCGGGGTCGCACGTACCTCAGTGGCAGGAAGGTAACAGGCCGAGTCGCTCTGGCAGTCTGAAGGTCTGCAGGAATGTGGAGGGGTTTAGAGCCGGGCAACAGGAAACCACTTGAAGCTCTGGGCTGGGTCTGCCTCCCCCTCCACACCTCCCGCCTGCCGAGGTCCCTCCTCCTCCTGTCTCCTCCTTCCCTCCCACCCCTAACCCCCACCCCCAGCCAAAGCTGTCTCTGTCTTCCAGTTCTTTCTCCCTCTCCTTGTGGTGGGCTGCCCTGACCAGACTCCCCAGCCCTGCCTGCCTCATGGTTCTGGGGCTGCTGCCTAAACAGACTCAGGGCATGCCAGGGCTGCAAGCCCGGCAGGCATCACCTAGAACAGCCTGCCCCGTGTTGGAAGGGAAGCTGAGGCCTGGAGGGGCAACGCATTACCCAATGGCCCCTGGGGCAGAGCCGGGGTCAAGTGTCTTGACTTTATGACAGCGTTTAGTACATGAGCCGGACATTGGGCAATGCTGAGGAGGGCAAAGCCATGTAAGGGCCTTGTATCTGTGACAAAGGCAAGGCCAGGACTTGCCTCTGTACAGACAAGAAGCTGCCACTGATGGAATCCTCACTGATGATTTGGTATGTGGCCTAAAAACAACCACTCTGACCCTAGTTGCACCATTAACAGACCTGTCAGAGATCGGCTTTCTAGTTGGGGTCTCTGTGTCATCACTAGGGAGCAGACACGGTGATTGATGATGTTGTTAATACTCTCAGACATAACAGTAGCCAAGCTTTACTGAGGACTTAATCGTCTTCACAGCAACGCTTGCCTTAGACATTGTTACTGGGCCCATTTTACTAATAAGGAAACAGAGGCTCAAGCAATGTCTCTTGCCCAGGAGCACCTGGCGGGCTGATGCTGCCACCTTCAGCTTCATTCCTGCTGATGCTGCGTGAACTTTCTCAGTGCAGGAAGTCTTGATTGAATATTTATGACAGCTTCACACTTAGAGAAGAACAAGAATTAATATCTGGTCCTTGGCCTCAAGAAGGTTTAGATGTTGCTGAGAGGACGTGCCTCATGGACACATGATTGGGACAGACTCTGAGGCTTGTCCCAGGGGCTCAGAGTGGTAGGGATGCTGCGTCTGAGCAGGCAGAGAAGGCTTCCTGGAAGAGGTGGATCTTGAAGCATGGGCTGGGTTTAAATAACATGGAATTGATGTGGCCTCCGCTCTCTTGCCACACTCTCCTCATCCCATTCCCCCCCTTGCTCACTCTCCTTCAGTCACACCAGCTTCCCTAGAGTCTCTCAACAACCCAAGGTTATTCCTACCCCAGGACCTTTGCACTTGCGCTTACCTCTGGCAGGGACATTCTTCCAACTGATTCTCCTGTGCCTACGGTTTTCTCATCCTTCAGGTCTCTGTCCTAATATCACCTCCCGTAAGAGTGCCTTCCCGACCACTCAACTTGAATCAGTCTCCCTCCCTCTCTCACCGGCATAGTACATCCCCTTACCCTGTTTTATTTCCTTCCTCACTCCTGTCGTGATCAGAAACCATTTGTCTCCCCCACTAGACAGAAGCTCCAGGAGAGCAGGGGCATCACATGTTGTCTTCACTGCCGTGGTCCGGCGACCGGAGCAGTGGCCATCGCAGCGTTGCCTCTCCGTCGGGGCTGGGGGAGGGCGTCATTCTCTAGTAGGGCTCCAGCCTGGAATCGTGCTGAACGCTGGTCTTTAAGAGATCCTCAGATCTACAGAAACTGGGTGCAACTGTTTGGGCGTCTGTGCCAGAAAGGTCCCCGGCTTTTTCCAGGTTCTCAGAGAGACTAGTCAGGAATCTAAGGAAGGACTGCTCCAGACGACCACCAGGGCCTCGCCCGGTGCGAAGACCAGGGCTGGCGCTCTGCCGCGGTGGTTCCGCGCCGGGGGCTGGCGCCCTCCCCAGAGATCTGTTTTGCTGTCTGGACAGATGTATATTTTTATAGGATTGGTTGCTATAGCTCCCAGGCATCATGGGGACTAAAATTAACTTAAACCTTGTGTTTTCTTCATAAACTAAGATAATGATTCTAATGAAAATGAGCCAATGGAATGAACTGTTCCTAGTGTTTGGCTGGAGTTCCCATGTGGCCTTCAGCTCAGGAATTGGAAAGCCGGTTGGGGCTAAGCTAAAGCTTTGGGACAGAGATGCCATCTGGGAACCACTCCCCGGCCCCCCGGGACGCCCGTGGCTGGGATTCCCTCAGAGCAAACCTGGGTAGGTCTATACCTTGGTAGGTCTAATGTGGGAGGAACGCCATCCAGCAGAACTCCTCCCGGCCACTACAGATGAGAAATGAGTCGTCCTGGACACGATCGTGTGGTTCCGGTGGGAAATGGGGACACGATCCCCTCTATTGGAGAACGCCCTGAGCCCTTCCCCCAAATGGCTTTTATTGGGAGTGGTGTGTGTAGGTGTACACAGCATATAGGCGTAGTTCATCAATCCATGTTAAAAGGCTACAGCCACCCCAAACCAGGTATTATCTACAATAACAGTTGAAGGAACACAGAGATCTGTCATAGTTGAGGGTCTGTGAGTCATACTGATGCCAGGGGGTCTATAAGATGTGTTTCATGAGATAAGGAGTTTACTCCTTATGCCTTGAACTTAAACATCTGGTTTATATCATCGGGTCTGTACAAAACAAAGCAGAGCAGGCTTCAAAGGATGCAATGTATTTATCAGGGCTGATTCCACGGGAACCCTTGGTGTTAGAGTCAGATCACGTCTGCCACCTGTGTTACCTGGTTTTCCAGGGGGACTTACTAGCCCCCTTCAGAGCCCGGTCTCTCGGGCTGCAGTCCCCGAAGCCACCCACACAGAGCAGTCCCCGACAGGGGAACAGGAGCCTCCGAGGCAGGAATGACTTTGACTTAGAAAGGGAGAGGACCACTCTTGTTTCTCCCCTTTCTTTTCTCCTTCCTCTTTATTCCAACCATTCTGACGCCCTTTCGGCTGTTCCAAAGTACTTCCTCATCTTCTGTCTCTGTGAATGACAGTGCAGTTCCGCGAGGGAGTCCAGGAAGGGCTTAGGACCTATATTGCAGATGTGGGGAAACTGAGGCCCCAATCACCCAGTAGAGCTGGGGCTCAAAACCAGGTCTCCTTACCCCCCTGGCTAAGACGCAGACTCCCAACCCCACCAAGGGCCTGCTTGATAATGGGAGTCTGTCCCCTGAACTACCCGATGGACCGTCCCTGGGCCTGGGGCTGGGTGGGCCACCAGCATCCTCACGTGTGAGCAGGAATACCTAGACAGGGAGCGAGTGAGAGGTCTGAACTCTGGAAAGAGACCTAGGAGGCTGTTCATTTGGCTTCTGGCAAAAATAAAAGCAACCAAGTAGAAAGTTAAATAAATAAAAGCAGTGCCAAGAGCCATCCCATAAGGCCATACGTTAGAAACAGGGTCGGCTCTCCAGGCCGTAAATCCCGAGTGCACCTTACAGGTAAAAAACGCAACAAGTGTTGCATGTGGGAACTTAATGGCCATGGGAACCAAGTCTCACTAGAACAGTTATGACTAAGCTGGGAAGCGAGTTCCTATCCAGTATTATCGAGCAGACACGGGGCAAAACATTATAACCATCATCTCAGTTAACCTCCACTTAATATGCACACTTAGGTAGTAGAGTAGTTTCCCGTGATTGCTGTCATTAATTACCACAAACTTGGTGACTCAAGATACATGTTTATTGCTTTAGTTTGGGAGGTAGGAGCCCTAACACGAAGGTGTCGGCAGGGCTGTGTTCCTCGTGGAAGGAGGGTGGAGGCACGAATCTCCTTCCTCGTTGCCACTCCTCCTCCACCCGTGGCTCCCCGCTCCATCTCCCCAGTGTCTGTCACGCCAACCTCTGCTTCTGCCATCACAAGTCCTTGTCCATTGTCCCCTCTTGCCTCCCTCTTAGACTCTTGTGATTGCATCAGTCCCCCCCGGATGGTCTAGGACGAGCTTCCCCTCTCAAAAGCCTTACCTTAATCTGCAAAGTCCCCTTTGCCCTGTGAGCTGGCATACTTGGAGTTGGGGGATGAGGATGTGGACATCTTTGGGGGCCTGCTTTTGTCTACCAGAGGTAGGTACAATGACTACTCCCAGTTTAAGGATGAGATACAAAGGGGCAGAGAACTGAATAACGTGCTCACGTTCCCTAGTGGTGAAGCCCGAAATCCACAAAGGTAGCTCAACTCCAGGTCCCCTCCCTCCTCTCCACCACTTCCCTGTACAAGCCTCTGCCCCCACCATACTCTTGGCGAGGCTGCCTCCTTCCCCCATCTACTCCAACACTCCCCATCCTTCCAGCTCAGGCTGAATTTCTGTTCTCTCAAAGCTTAGAGATGACGGGGCCCTTAGGCTCTACCCAATGCTACACCTTCCTTGTATGGCTGAGAAAATTGAGGATCTTCGAGTGCAAGGTCACAGTGCAGACAGCTATCCCTGGAGCCCTGGTCTCCCGTCTCCAGTTCTGGCGGCCCCTAGCCTGTGGAGGCAGGGACTGGGCTGGCTGATCCCTTTGGGCTGAAGATTGTGTATCAAAACTCTGAAATGCACCCTTTGTGTGTCTGGCTCAAAGTCCAGGCTGCCAAGCTAAGAAGCCTGGGGTGCCTGGAGACTGACTCAGCCTGTTGTCTTGTTACTGTATCTTTCCCCAGGGCAGCCCTCCCATTGGCTGAAGGGCACAAAGACTCATTGTCATCTGGCCCTTGGTCCCCCGGGCAGAGCAGAGAGGAGGATGAGATTTCACTGTATTACCCCTCACCTCTTGCAGCTCTCCCACCGATTCTTCCCTGAGCTCGTTACAGTGCACAAAGGACTTTTAGACCCATAATCTCATTGAACGGCACAGCGCGTCTAAGGTAGAAAAGTAAGGATTCACCAAGCACAGTTTGGGCTTGAGTAGACAGAGTGAGTGTCCCTCGGGGACTCGCCCAAGGTCATCCCGCTGGTCCATGTGAAGCGGAAATGAAAAGTCCGAACTCGACATTTAGTCCCAGATTCTTCCCACTGAGTTACCTTCTTCCATCCAGGTCCCAATGAAACTTTGCGAAGCCATCGTCTCACAGAGCCCCCTTCTTCACTGAGGTGACAAATGGC